GTTATGGCAAAGGAAGCTGTGCGTGAGCGGTGGTCACTGTGAACATGTTCATGACCTCTGAGATAACTGGAAGCCCCGATGTTCTGGCCGGCACTCTGCGCCCTGGCTCCCCCGCAGGTTTTCTCCTCACTCCACCCAGGAGCTCAGATGTCGATTCTTAGAGAGGGCACCCTCACCCTCTCCTGCAAGAGCAGTGCCTCCACCCCTACCATCACTCGCTAGCCCCTCGGCCTGATGTTCAAGACCATGTTCAGCGGATACGCCCCATAGAACTGTCCCCTAGCATTTTCCAGGCCGCAGCAGACTCTACGGGAGTAGACGGCCTGGCCTGCTCTCACCTAGACGCTGGTGGGCTCAAACGGCCAACCTTTCTGTCAGCAGGTGAGAGCTTAAACAATGCACCACTGAGGCTCCTTACCTGCCATTACAAACCTACATTATATTTGTAGGTTTATTTTCCATCTCCTCTACTACAATGAAGATCCCAATGACATTAGAGGGTCGGGCTATTTGGTTCCCGGATGTTATTCCCAGCACCTCAAACAGAATCTGTTTGACCATTAGGTGTCCAATAAATATTTGGTGAATATGAAAAAAAAAAATTAGTGACATATACCATTACATCGCACACAAAAATCAAGGTAGGGAATATCTTATGGCGGGTGGCATGGTAGTTACGCACAGGGTTGCTAACTGCAAAGTCAGCAGTTCGAAACTACCAGCAGCTCCTTGGGAGAAAACAGGGCTTTTGACTCCTGTAAAAAGTTAGTCTCAGAAACGTTCTGGGGTTGTTCTGCCTGGTCCTGCAGGGTCACTATGAGTCAGCAGTGACTTAATAGCAGCGAGTCTGGTTCTTCTGGGGGGGAAGTGTTGACTGTATATACATTGACTTCCCATTTGAGTGCAATCCTCTGAAATAAAAACATCCATTGCTTTTAGACAATCACCAATCCCATGAAGCAGGTGAAAACGGCTGAACTCTAAAACCCACCGTGGCTACACACTTCCGTGCTGAGGCAGTAGTGCACAGGGGGGTAGCAAGCAGGGCAGGAGAGGGCTGTCTTACCACACTGTCGTCCATCCCCGGGGGCTCTGTGCCCTGGAGAATCGGCACCTGGCACGCTCTTACACTTGGAAAACTGCGAAATGGCGCCACCGCTTTCTGCCCCCTTGCCGGGGCACGGAGGTGGGCTCACGTTATTTCCATCCCATCTTCTTCTGGAGGTAAATAGGTGCGAAATGTCTCCTTCATAAATCCCACCGGGTCTTCGTCCGAGGCCATACCCCAAGTCCCCATCTGTCATGTCATCTTCCGCTCCCCAGGCCTGCGCTTCGGAGTCACTCAGCGACCTGACCGCCTTGCTCATCAGACAGGTGCAGCGCTACCATAGGGACCAGCAGCTCACCTGCAGCGAAGAAGAGCAGCCGTTAGAAACCACCACTGGGAGTCGAGCTTTTCAGCCCAGAAAGGCTCTTCTCAACTCATCGCGCAGGCAGACACACTCCTGGCAGCCCAGCTCAAAGTATGGAACATTCTAGGGCTTTCATTGAAGAATCATTTCAACCTGACTTGAATAAGGTTAAGTGAGTGGCGGGAAAACAGAAGAGGCTTGCGTGACCATCGCCTGCTCGGGATAAAGCTGACCAGCCTTTGCCCAGGAAGGGAGCACTACTCTCACGTGGGAGCTTTCCCGGGAAATGGTTCGGTTCATCCGAGCCCAGGGCCCACTGCCAGCATGTTGATTCTAACTCACAGCGATAAGGCTTCCAAGAGTGTAAATCTTTAAGGGAACAAAGAGCCTCATCTTTCTCCTGAAGTGGTGGTGTATGAGTTTGAACTGCCGACCTTGTGGTTCACAGCCCAACACTCCACCGCTGTGCCACCAGCACGCCTTATATGAGCCTGAGACCTACATAAAACCAGAGCCTCTGAAAAATGAGACTTCAAATTGGAGGAAGTTCCCTGCTCCGGGCCTCCACCCTTTCAGAAACCCCAGATCACTCCGGGAGTCAGAGCCTCCCTCAGTCTCTCTTGCGGGTCTTACTGGCTGGGTTTCTACTTCTGCGCCAACACAGTGAGCCGAGGTTTGGTATTTGGGATAGGGAAGAAAGTAGCACTCTTCCTCTCCCATTCTCTCTTTCTCAAATTATGCCATCCTGTGCTCAAGTCTGGACCCCCTTCCCTCGCGCCACATCCCCCAACCAACTCACTATCATCAAGGTCATTCTGACCCTGTAGGGCAGAGTGGAACTGCCCCTGTGGGTTTCTGAGGATGTCTATCTTGACAGGGCAGAAAACCTCACCTTTCTCCAGCAGGGCACCTGGTGGGTTTGAACCACTGACCTTGTGATTAGCAGCCCAACACACAACTCACTATATACCATCAGGGTTCCCTCCTACACTCCCAACCCCCCAGCCCCCCACCACCCTGTTTCCCTAGCTCAGAGTAAAAGTTCAAGACTGTCAGCGGCCAAAGGCTCTACCTTCATCTCTGACCTCATCTCCTCTCGGTCAGTAGCTTCTGGCCACGCTGACCACCATGTTTCTGAGTACTCCAGGCAGCTGACCTTTTGCATCGGCTGTTCCCTCTGCCTGGAATGCCTATTCCCTAGAGACGTGCACAGTTGGTGTCTCACTTCCTTTGGGTCTTCTTTTTTTTTCTTCCATAGCACTTACGACCTTCTAACATCCTGGTTTCGTAGCGGGTTTCATAGTGGGTTACATCTTCGACTGGTTTTGTAGTGGGTCCTGGTTTCGTAGTGGGTTACATCTTGGACTGCCAACTGGAGGGTCAGCAATTCAAAGCCACTGGCCGCCTTGGGTAGGAAGATGAGGCTGGCTGCTCCGGAAGGCTCGACAGCCTGCAAACACCACACAACAACCCCACTCTGTCTTCTAGGGTTGGTATGGGTGGGATCGAATCAACAGCAACAATTTCTGTGGTTTTCCACATACAGCATACAAGATTGCATTGGCTTTTTTAATTGCGCCACTATAATCAGGGTGAAAAACGTAAACTCACTGCCAGTGAGTCGATGTTGACGCATAGGACAGCGCAGAACTGTCCCTGCGGGTTTCCCAGGCTGTAACTTTCTTTACAGCCCTCTCTTTTTTCCGAGGTGCTGCTGGTGGTTTCGAACAGCTGACCTTATGGTTAGCAGCTCCACATGTAACCCCTACGCCACCAGGGCTCCTTAAAATCAGAATGAAGCTAGAATAAAAATGAAAGTCAAGCGAACAGAAGGTGACCGGATCTACCTCTGGTGCCCAGCAATAAGTCAGGTGACCTGAGCATTTCCCTCCACCAGAGCCCACAACCAGCAGGCTCTAAGGAGAGGGCCTGAAGGAGAAGGTGAGTTCCCTAAGAGTAGACATTTTTTTTTTACATGATCAATGCTTTTATTGCTGTTTTTATGTTCTGGGCACCTTTCCCCTAACAATTATTTCTCCCCATTTATGTTTTATTTTTAATTATCTTTTTTCCTGATTATCTGATTATAACACCCACTTCCCCTTGTTCTCTAGAAATCGGGGAGAATTTGTAAATACAATGCCCCTAATATTTTAATGATCATTTAACTAAAAGCTCAGAAATCAATTCTATTTATTTTACGTAGCAGTCACACCCTGGTCCTGTTTTTTTTGTAAGGGCAGACATTTTTGTCTGCGTTGTGCCTGTATTCTCCATGCCTAAAAGTGTCTTACTCCAAACTCCCCGTCATCGGTGGGATGCCGACTCACAGCGAGCCTGTCAGCCTGTCATGGGAGTCTGCGACTGTAACTGTCGTGAGACTAGAAAGCCTCCACCCCCTGCTGCCAAGTCGACTCCAGCGATGACGACCGAGCGCGCCAGAGCAGCGCAGAGCAGAGCAGAGGGTTTCCTGGGCTGCAGTTTTTCTTTCTTCTTTACTTTTTTTTTAGCAGTTTTTCAAGGGTTCAATCACACGAAGAATTAATTGTCCAATTAATCATCATCACAATCAGTTCTAAGATATTTTCTTCATTCTTGCTTCATTGTTATGATGTCCCCTGACTCTAGTCTTCATGGAAGTAGACTCCCAGGCTTTTCTGCCCAGGTGCTGCCGGATGGCTTCAAACTGCAACCTTCGGGTTAGTAAGAGACGTCGTAGCTCTCAACAGAGACATGTTGAAAAGCGGAAGAAGTGTGCTGGTGGGCTCATTCATGTATTTTATGGAGATCCATTTATTCCCTCTTAACGAGGAAAAAGACATGGAATGATTAATCCGTTGATACCAAGGCATGGTGGGGTTCAGAGGATTCACAGTCCTGTGCTACCTGAGAGCACATGGGACCCAAAGGAAAGTGTCACAAAATCACGATGGGTCAATTCATCACGGTTGTAGGCGGAGATTCAGAATCCAGAAAGGAACCATTCCTAGGACACGGGTACTACTGCTGGTGAGAAAAGCTTACCAGATTGGTTCAGAAAAATGATGATCTCATAAGTAAATCCCCACCTAATTCGCAATAGAGTAAAAAAAAAAAAAAAAAAAAT